GTTGTCTATTTTTGAGGCGCCTCAAAAACCCAGGACACATCGTGAGTTTGTACTCATTGGGGGCGGAGGGGCAGGTAAACCCCTTGGGTCCTTTCACATATTCGCGTCTATTCGCTCGCCTATTTTTTTATGCGCTTCAAAATAGACTCGTCTTGTCAATGTCCTCATCCTACTTATCTCCTTCCCCTCCTCCCCCCCCCCACCCCCACCCCACCAGTTTCCACCGCTTTGGCACGTGCAGCAGCAGCAGCTTTGGCATTGCTTTGGTGGCCAATAAGGCTGGCGGATACTGGAACACTGCCATGTTCGTTAAGGTAACACTGCCTATTTCAGTCACCAGAGAGCTTGTGTCCTGCATTGTGTTACACAGCATGTACCTCCATTGTTCCCTACCCTCTCTTGTTCCCCACCCCTCTTTCGTGCACTGTTTTCAAACTTTTATCAGTGGTCACTTATGAGTCGACTAAAAAGTCACCTCCTAACTTTCATCGGTGGTTTTTCTTCCTTGTCTGCTTCTTCTCTTTCCCTCAGGGCCTTTCTTTCGGGTCAGGGACAAACAAATTCTGGGCCACACCCAATCCAGTGAGTCTCCTCCTCCCCTCCCCCTCTCATCTCACCCCTTCAACTGTTCCAGTTTTCAAACCCCCCCCCCAACCTCCCCCCTCCCCACCCCCCCCCCCCCCCCCCTCCTGGATTCCTCGTCTGCTTCAACTGCTCTTACATTGCTCGCCCCTGAATTCCCCTTCCCCTCCCCCTCCCCCCCCTCCCAGTCTTCCGGCGCTCCTCCCCGCGGGGGGCTGGTTGCCCGCTTCTACGCCATTCGGGATCTCGACGGGTCCCTCCTCGGCCAATCAGGCTACGCTGTTGCCAACTACGACCCCATCCTGCCGCCCGCAGCCGTCCGCGCTTCCAAATGCTCCTATAAGAGCGCCTTCTCAGCGTATTCGTGCTCCTCGGTCTGCTACCGATCCATCGGGTTACAATACGATGAGTCCGGGGCTGGCCCGAGTGCCACCGGCACGTCGGGCACTCCTAGCGCGGTCATCCGGCCATATTCCTACCTGAAAATCACGAGAACAGACGACGGGACGATTTTTTACGCGTACGGGACGGATAATGACGACCCGAATAGCGGCCCGGCGGGCAGTGGAAAAAAAACCCGGTACTTAACAGCGTCGCTTTTAGCCGGGTATACTTACCGGATCGAGGTGGTTCCGGCTGAGACTAACAGCAATTTTTACCCGAGTAAAATGCAGCTGAACGTTTTCGACTGGCAGGGGTGTTCGGGGCCGGTTACCCTGGTTATCGATACGCCAAATTCGAGAAGCAAATGGCTATCGAGCGCGCCTACAGTGCCGTGCTCTTCCGTGGACGCGACGAGGGTTTATAAGGAGTACGCGTGTGGGAATGGGAAGGCGCGGCTGCAGCTTGATGTGGGGGCGAGCACCAGCGGCAAGGGACTGACTACAATGGACCTCGATAGCGACACGACTACCTCGTGCTCTTCTGACTCGTGAGTATTGACCATTGTGAGTGCTGATGAGTGGTAGTTGGTGCGACGGCTGCAGCAGCATGTAGGGGCGAGCACCAGCGGCAAGGGGCTGGCTACAATGGACCTGGATAGCGACACGACACCGTGCTTCTCGGATTCGTAAGTACTGTCCCGCAAGAGTACGTGTGTCGACAATTGTGATGCGAGTGGGAACGGGAAGGCGCGGCTGCAGTTGGACGTGGGGGCAAGCACCAGCTGCAAGGGGCTGACTACAAGTCGTGAGTGCAGCTAACTAACCAAGGTGTATGTCTTTGCAAGGGGCTGGCTGTCCTGGTCCTGGATAGCGACACCAGCACCGCTTGTTCCTCCGACTCGTGAGTGTGACTACCGGTGCATGCCGTGCTCGTGTTGCCTCCACTCTTGAAGCCCGTGGTTCTATTTTGAGGCATCTAAAAAATAGACTCCTTATGGTGCATGCGGCACCTAGAAAATAGACTCCTATTCTTGAAGCCCTTGGTTCTTGCCCTTGGTGCCGTTGGTCCTAGAGTGCTTGCTCTTCCGTGTGTTCTTCTCGTACTCTCCCTACAGTCCTCATTATTTTGCTCTTCTTTCTTGTTTTGAGGCGCCTCAAAACTACTCTCCTTTCCTCTTCCTCTCCTTTCTTACCCGCCCCCTCCTCCCCCCCCCCCCGCCCCTATCTACAGTGCCTGTTCTGTCAGCACCTCGTCTCTGCCGCCCCTCTCCGTCTCGCCTCTGGGCGGCACCGAGTCGTCCTTTTCCTCCGTAGACCCGTTTTTCGACCCGAGCTTCTACGAGCCTGGTACAGGCAGCAGCACAGGCAGCAACACTGGCGCCAGCACAGGCAGCAGCACAGGCAGCAACACTGGCGCCAGCACTGGCAGCAGCGGCACTCCTGACAGTAGCACCACCCCTTTCAGCAGCAGTGTAGGCAAATTCCAGTCTTACATCCCCAGCCGTGGCAGCACCAGTAGCAGCGGTGGTGCTTATACTGAAAACGGCGATGATGACTATAGTGAGAACGTATTCATTGCAGGCAGTGGCACAAACAGTGCAGGCAGTAGTAGCATTGCAGGTGCTCCTGCCCCCCCTCCTGCTCCCTATCCTGCTCCCCCTCCAGCAGCAGCAGGGAGAAATGGAGCAGCAGCAGCTGCAGTTGCAGACACTGCAGGAGTAGCAGTAGCAGCACAGGCAGCAGGGGAAGGAGAGGCAGCAAGGGAGCTGTTTAGCAGAATGCTGCTGAGAAAGGCTGCTCCTGCTCCTGCTCCCCCTCCCCCTACCCGCCGGCGCTAGAAGCTGATGTGTGTTTCATTCCACACCACGGACACACCAGGGACACATCAGGGACTAGGACCGAGTTATGCCACATACGTGGTAGGACTGGTCTGCTGTATTGGGGGGAGGGGAGATGGGGGGTGAGGGGGGTGTAGCAGTGGAAGCAGGAGTGACGGTAGATGGCTGGTGTAGTGCGCTGCAGTATCTCAGCGTGAGTTGTGGCAGGTTCACTGTTGCTTCCACTGTACCATCCTGATAAGTTTTTTTGCTTCTGGTAGTGTAGTTCATTCTCGCTCTCAGCCTGCTGCTGTGACAAGGTTTTTGAAAGACTATAAGGAGAATAACTGTAAAGAGGAACGAAGTTTGACATAACATTGTCGGACTTTCAAGCCTGACTACACGTAGGTCAAATACCCCAACCCAAGAGTTGAAGCCCAAACTTAGAGCGCACTCGAGTTTATTCAGTGTACAGTGTGTGTGTCCACATGATTTCTGCCCTCAACCCAAGCATGTAAGGGGCGTGGTGTGCGTCCGGACAGCCAGAGTGGTACAGTGATTTTCAAAACGGTTCTGGCGTGGTCCAGTTAGATAATCGCGTCGTCCGGTGTGGCGGATGTTCCGAGGAGGGGTGTTCTGACACCAGGCACCCTGTCCTAACAAAGAGAGCCGATGCATCAGCCGAGTTTGCAAGGGGCGCTGGGGTTTCGGCGGGTTTCGACAGAGTGCAGGGGCAGCAGAGAGGTGCTGTGCGGAGAAGCGCCACGCGCGAAAGCGGCGCGCGGAGAAGCGGCGCGCGGAGAGAAGTGCTGTACGCCGTCGCGCACAGTGCAGAATGCAGCAGAGCGAGAACCGCCCCCGTTAGTAGAATGCCAGCACTCGTAACATAGTAACACCAGGAAGAGAAACAGATACGCTAAAAGACGAGCCGACGCATGAGTCGACTGGGTGCGGCGTTGAGGCGGAATCTCGAGGGGCGCTGGGGTTTCCGCGGAGTGCAGGGGCAGCGGAGAAGCGCCGAGCGCAGGGGATCTGCCGCCAAGGGAAGAGATTGGAGGAGCGCGTTGTTTGGAGTGGATGTGGCGAGATCCATCCCCGTTTGTAGGGAATTTTCTGCAATCAAAACAGGAGACAAGGACGAAAAAGCGTGAGCGCTATGTTGCAAACTTAGCGACACAATTTTAGTTGAGTACATTCAGAATTACGTAGGAACAATGAAGTGCCGAGAACGTCCACGGGAAAAAGATGCTTATAAAAACAAAAATACCGTACCTTCAGTGAGCGCAAGCGCGGTGAAAATCGTGCAGCTTGTTGTCCTCGTCAGCCGCCTCTTAGTCGATTTTTTACAATTCTCGGAAATCACAAGCGACTTGTTGCGAATCGCGTGAATGCGCGTAGGTTGCGTCCCATCGTTGCTCGCAGCGCTTGCTTCCGTGTTTCGCGGAGAAAAAACAGGCTTCGCCTCGTGGAGTGCGTCGAGAAGGAATGCAGGTGCCGACGCTTCTGGAAGCGACCTCGAGAACCGACTCGGGAATTCGGAAATTTGCGGTGGAGCGTTCTGTACGTTGGGCAAATGCTCAAGATTGGGAAAATTTCCCAGCGGGCTCGGGAGCTCTAGGTCAGGTGAGTCCATGGCGAAATTACACAGGACTGAGGAGCTTAGCTTGGAGAAGGAATTAAAAGTATTCTAGGGACAATTGTTCTAAGGAAGATACCGTGAGGCGAGAACTGCGCGGAAGGCGGCCAAGAAACAGTGGCGCGATGGGCGCGATGGGAATATCTCGGATGAAGCGGCGAAGAATAAGGTTGTCAGATCATGTTAGATGGCGCTCTAATTCGTCAAGACAGGCAGGCTGAAGGCTGGAGAGCAGACACACACGAATAAACGCTAATCACGGTCAACACACAGACATATAACCTGGCTTGAGCTGGCTAAGGCAGTCAAGCGTGGGTGCGAGTTTCCCTGGCTACTCAACTCAACCAACAACAAGCGCCTCCTTGCTGGACCTTGTGGTGCTAGCAAGGCTTTCGTTTCGTGTCGTCAAGGGTTGACCTTGGAGGCTGGATTTGGGTGGCTATTGTCGCGTGCGATTGCGTCGAGTTGAGAAGGGTGCGCGCGACGGCCATGCTGATCCATCAAGCTCGTTCCTGGGCCTCGTTTTGCCTCGAGGATTTCGTGTTATCGAGACACGTTGCCACTCGCATCGAGTCGCAGGTCGTATCGTCGTCGCAAGCACCCAAAATGACAAAACGGAATGACTCACACCATGAATCGCCTGCGACTCGGCTCGGCACTTGAACGATATATCGGGGACTCAATTTTTGAAAACGCGCGGGAATCAACAGATCTGCTTTAGCGGGCTTCGTGTTGTGCCCCGGGCAAGTGAGTGGCATGGGGCGGGGTAGGAAAAACAAGGATTACTGTCCGGTTGGTACTAAAATATGAGTATTTGTCCAGTCAAGGCTCACCGAGATTTTTGAAAATCGAGAGGGAGTTGGGAAAACTTCCACTCCACCAGGGAAACTGGATTGTGATTTCCGGTATCTCAGGCGCAGGCGTGAATCTCAAATACGAAATCGGGCAGACAGGTGGCGGCATGCGACGTGGCATTTCAGGTGCCACTCGGTGCTTTGCACAATAGCCTGGGAACTGGGGTTTCGGCGCCGCAGTGCGGCTGTGTGGGAAGGGAGGGAGGCATGCGGAATGCAGGCGGAAAGCAGGCCAAAAGTCTCGAACGCCGAAAGTCACTCAGGTTGCCTCGCTAGTAGATGCCAGAATGCAGGCGGAATGCAGTACTAAAGAATCGCATTCTAGTAGCCCTCAATTGTTGTGTAACATCTCGTGTTGGACTTGCCATGAGGATCAGCGCCCTGAGGAGCATGAACACATTTGTGATGGCTGATCACGAAGATTCGCCATAGCATACTCAACACGCGGGCTAGAATGTTCGGTGGTGATGATGGCGGCCACTTTATGCTACGGTAGATGATTCCGATGCTAGATTCGTCAACGTATACATATATTGTTATGTAGAAGTTTTAGGCTAGATAGGGTATGTTATTAGGGGTTACAATCCAAACACTATATCTCACATGTTCTCCCTTGTCTTAATTGTTCATTATAATTTCTAAAATGGTATCACGAGTGGGTAGGTCCACCCACCCGCTTCCGCCCCGCGCCGTCGCCTACCGCGCCTCGTTAGAGCTAGCCGGCCCCTTACGCCCCTAGCCGGCCCCTCGCGTACCTACTAGCCCGTCGCGCCCCTAGTCGGCCCCTCGCGCCACTACGGCCCCTCGCGCCCCTAGCCGGCCCCTCGCGCCCCTAGCCGGCCCCTTCGCGCCCCTACCGGCCCCTCGCGCCCCTAGCCGGCCCCTCGTACCCCTACCGGCCCCTTGCGCCCTAGCCGGCCCCTTGCACCCTAGCCAGCCTCGTGCGCCCTAGCCGGCCCCTTGCGCCCCTACCGACCCCTCGCGCCCTAGCCGGCCCCGCGCGCCCTAGCCGTCCCCTTACACCCCCACCGCCCCCTCGCGCCCTCGCGGGCCCCTCGCGCCCTAGCCGGCCCCTTGCGCCCGAGCTGGCCCCTCGCGTCCTAGCTGGCCCCTCGTCGTCCCCGCCGGCCCTCCTCGGCCTCCTGCCCTTTTTCCCCTGCTGCAGCACCCTTCAGTTGAGCAGTTGAGCAGCCGTGTTGCTCTGCCGCTGTCCAGCCGAGCCGCCTAGCCGCCGTGACACTGAGCTGTCGTGCCCCCGAACCGCCGAGCGGCAGAGCCGCCATGTCGCTGTGCCGCTGTGCCGCTGTCCCACTGTGCGATGATGGACGCCGTTCTTCGCTTGGACGCTGAGGGGCACGCGATCGACTTCACCGCCTGGCTCGACGACCTCCACCGGCACCTGACAGGTCAGCGCCAGGATGGGCACTCCCTAGCTATGCATGTTGATGGCTTGCTCCCCCGCCCCCCTGCGCCTGATCCCCTCCCTGCTGACCCTACCACTGCTGAGAGCGAGGCCTTTGCAGCTGCTGTGCTTGTTCGAGCTGTTTGGGATTATCGCGATGCTATAGCGCAGCTTGCCATTAGCCATGCCCTTCCCCTGTCTGAGCGTCCGCACTTCACCGCTGTCGCGAACGCCAAGGAATTTCTCGCTGCAGTTGTTGAGCGTTAGTCCACACCTGCTTCTGCCTCTACTCGCCGCTTGATCCTACCCATGCTCTTTCCTGATCTTTCTGCTTTCCCCAATGTAGCTGACCTCGCTACTCACCTCCGTGCACTAGAGACCAGCTACCGCGCCGCTAGCTCTGCCGCCCAGCTTACTGCCTTCCTCCCACCCTTCTACGCTACCCTGTACCTAATCGCCATGTGCCTGTCTGACCGCTTAGCCACTGCCCGCGACCCCTTCTTTAGTCAGCACCCTGCCGACCTCACCTTGACCGCCTTTGTCACTACACTGTCTGAGATAGAGACTCGCCAGCGCACTATCGCTCAGTCGAGTGGTGTTGCGGCAGTCCCTATCTTTCATGGCTGTGCTCCCTCCCAGTGCACGTATGCTGACGAGTCAGCCGCAGTTGCCACGACTGCACCTGCCCCTGAGACAGCAGCTGCGGCTTTCCCGCCGCAGAGCCAGCGCCATGGCCGCCATGGCCCCAAGGGAGGACGTGGTGGTGGCGCTAGTGGTGGTGGTGGCGGGGACAGTGGTTCGGACGAGGGGGTTGGAGTTGGTGCCCAGGAGCAGCAGCAATCGCCGCAGTCACAACAGCAGCAGACGCAGCCGCAGCAGCAGCATCAGCAGCCATGGGCTCGCCTCCCGCCGGGGTAGCCAAGAGCCCCAGGAGGTGGTGGTCGCGGTGGTGGCCCTCGCAGCTTGGCGTCCACCGGCGGCTTCGGTGCTGTGAGCTGTCAGTACCAGCTCCAGACCGGGCCCCTCCGTGGCACGGTGTGCCGCCACCAACACCCGACCGCGCACTCCTTCCGCTGTCTCGACGACCTCTTCCGTCGCCGCTTTGGTCCAGCCCCGGACCTCCCTTACTGGCGCAGAAACTGCGCCACGGTGTGCCTGTGTTTGACCTAGACATGGATCCGATTAGTTCTGCTTTGCATTCTCTGTAGGCTGACGCTTCGAGTGTTTGTGGATCCTATTACTCTTTGTTCTCTAGCTTAGGCGTAGCACCTGTGTGTAGTCCAGACTCCCCTGTTGCGTCAGGCGTAGGACAGCTTGCTTTGTCTAGCCTAGGCTCTACCCTTGCTCCTCCGTCGTCAGCCACTACGGCGTCGCTGTCCTTCACTCTTGACTCCGGTGCATCAGCTTGTTTCTTCCGCGACCATGCCACCCTCACGCCGCTAGCTGCACCTGCCGCTGTCGCCCTTGCTGACCCCCTCCTTTGGTCCTGTAGTTGCTCGCAGGTACACTACCCTTCCCTGTACGGCGGTTCTCTCGGGTTCCCTTACAGGCTTGCACATCCCTTCGTTCTCCGGGAACTTAGTTGGTGTCGGCTATCTTCAGGACCTTGGCGTCACCACTACGTTCCTTGCTCACGAGCGGTACGCGGTCTGTATCGAGACTGCCTCAGGTGCCCCCCTTGCGACGTTCACCTCGCGCTCCCGCGTCTGCGTCACATGTCTCAGCACGGTCTCGTCCTAGGCCTCCCTGCGCTGCTCCCTGCTCTCCCTCCCTCGCCTGCGCCACCGTGCACGCCTTGCGTCGAGGGCTGGTTGCGTCGTGCTCCTCACTCCTCCTCGCTTCCCTCGGCCACTGCACCTCTCCAGACCCTGCACTTGGACGTCTGGGGCCCAGCCCCCGTCCCTGGACCGCGTCGCGAGCGCTACTTTCTTGTGCTCGTTGACGACTTCAAGCGCTACACCACGGTGTTTCCCCTGGAGCGGAAGGCTGGCGTGCCTGACGTTCTTATCCCGTGGCTCCTAGCTGCGCGCCTCCAAACATAGCACAGGGCTGTGTCTCCACTTTGACTGTGGCGGCGAGTTCGCCTCTGGTCGGCTAGGTCAGTTCTGTTGTGCGGAGGGCATCACCCAGACGTACACCCTACGGGACTTCCCGCAGCGGAATGGGGTCCCTGAGTGACGCATCGGTTTGGTCATGGAGGTGGCTCGTACCTCCATGATCCATGCCAGTGCACCCCATTTTTTGTGGCCGTTCGTCGTTCGCTACGCTGCTCACCAGCTTAACCTCTGGCCGCGCTCCCAGCGGCCACATGTTTCGCCGACCCTTCTATGGACCGGGTTCCTTGGTGACGCGTCTGCGTTCCACGTCTGGGGCTGCCTCACTCACGTTCGTGCCTCCGGTACGGACAAGCTAACTGCCCGCTCACTTCTACCGCCCGCCGTCTCACCGCATCTTTCACTCCCGTGATGCCACTTTCGACGAGTCTGTCTTATTTTACCACCGCTTTCCTCATCGAGGTCTTTCGGTTCCCCCCCACCTGTTTCTGGTTCCCACTCCCCCAGTTGCCCCTGCTCCCCTCCCTCCCCATCCTGCTTTGTCTGGTGTGTCTCACGTCACTCCCCTCCCGCCGGTTGCCCCGGTCGAGGAATCGGCTGACTCTGGTGGCCCCGCGGCGCCGTTTGCGCCGCCTTTCCCTCCCCCGGTCTCTCCTCCTCCCTCGTCGCAATCGCCGCCGCCACAGCAGCCGCAGCCGTTCGTGGACTCTGGGTGTGCTGGAGTTGAAGAGGGTGTTAGTCCTCGGGCTCCTGTCGTGGCTTGTCCCGGTGGGCTCGGGGGTGGCACCGGCGCTGGAAAGTTTTCTCGTTCTGGGGGTGCTGGCGTGGAGTGTACTGGAGGTAGCAGTGATGCAGCTAGTTGTCCAGGTGTCGGCGTCGAGCAGCAGTCGCCGCCGGTGTCCACCCTTCGCATGCTCGGCCTTCCCTCCCCTGACCGCTTGCCTCCGCCTCCCTCGCCATCTCCTCCTCTTCCTGTCCAAGGTCCTGTGTTTCCTCCGCCGGACTCGTCCCCGGCTCGTTTCCCTCCTCGTTCCCCTCCTGTTACTCCTCCTCTGTC